TCCCGCCCCCCCTCCCCCCTTCGGAACAGCTTTCCGAAGTGGGGCGGCTGGGCCAGGTGTCCCCGCCCCCTCCCCACTTCGGAACAGCTTTCCGAAGTGGGGCGGCTGGGCCAGGTGTCCCCGCCCCCCTCCCCACTTCGGAACAGCTTTCCGAAGTGGGGCGGCTGGGGCAGTTGTTCCCGCCCCCCTCCCCACTTCGGAACAGCTTTCCGAAGTGGGGCGGCTGGGCCAGGTGTCCCCGCCCCCCTCCCCACTTCGGAACAGCGTTCCGAAGTGGGGCGGCTGGGGCAGTTGTTCCCGCCCCCCCTCCCCACTTCGGAACAGCTTTCCGAAGTGGGGCGGCTGGGCCAGGTGTCCCCGCCCCCCCCTCCCCACTTCGGAACAGCGTTCCGAAGTGGGGCGGCTGGGGCAGTTGTCCCCGCCCCCCCTCCCCACTTCGGAACAGCTTTCCGAAGTGGGGCGGCTGGGGCAGTTGTTCCCGCCCCCCTCCCCACTTCGGAACAGCGTTCCGAAGTGGGGCGGCTGGGGCAGTTGTTCCCGCCCCCCCTCCCCACTTCGGAACAGCTTTCCGAAGTGGGGCGGCTGGGCCAGGTGTCCCCGCCCCCCCTCCCCACTTCGGAACAGCTTTCCGAAGTGGGGCGGCTGGGGCAGTTGTCCCCGCCCCCCCTCCCCACTTCGGAACAGCTTTCCGAAGTGGGGCGGCTGGGCCAGGTGTCCCCGCCCCCCCTCCCCACTTCGGAACAGCTTTCCGAAGTGGGGCGGCTGGGGCAGTTGTTCCCGCCCCCCCCTCCCCACTTCGGAACAGCTTTCCGAAGTGGGGCGGCTGGGCCAGGTGTCCCCGCCCCCCCTCCCCACTTCGGAACAGCTTTCCGAAGTGGGGCGGCTGGGGCAGGTGTCCCCGCCCCCCCCTTCGGAACAGCGTTTTAAAATGCTGGGGGTCGGGAGCGAAGCGCTGCCGACCCCCTGCATTTAAAAATCTCCCCGTGTCCCGGGAAGGTTTTAAAATGCTGGGGGTCGGCAGCGCTTCGCTCCCGACCCCCAGCATTTTAAAACCTTCCCGGGACACGGGGAGATTTTTAAATGCAGGGGGTCGGCAGCGCTTCGCTCCCGACCCCCAGCATTTTAAAACCTTCCCGGGACACGGGGAGATTTTTAAATGCAGGGGGTCGGCAGCGCTTCGCTCCCGACCCCCAGCATTTTAAAACCTTCCCGGGACACGGGGAGATTTTTAAATGCAGGGGGTCGGCAGCGCTTCGCTCCCGACCCCCAGCATTTTAAAACCTTCCCGGGACACGGGGAGATTTTTAAATGCAGCGGGTCGGCAGCGCTTCGCTCCCGACCCCCAGCATTTTAAAACCTTCCCGGGACACGGGGAGATTTTTAAATGCTGGGGGTCGGCAGCGCTTCGCTCCCGACCCCCAGCATTTTAAAACCTTCCCGGGACACGGGGAGATTTTTAAATGCTGGGGGTCGGCAGCGCTTCGCTCCCGACCCCCAGCATTTTAAAACCTTCCCGGGACACGGGGAGATTTTTAAATGCAGGGGTCGGCAGCGCTTCGCTCCCGACCCCCAGCATTTTAAAAACCTTCCCGGGACACGGGGAGATTTTTAAATGCAGGGGGTCGGCAGCGCTTCGCTCCCGACCCCCAGCATTTTAAAACCTTCCCGGGACACGGGGAGATTTTTAAATGCTGGGGGTCGGCAGCGCTTCGCTCCCGACCCCCAGCATTTTAAAACCTTCCCGGGACACGGGGAGATTTTTAAATGCAGGGGGTCGGCAGCGCTTCGCTCCCGACCCCCAGCATTTTAAAACCTTCCCGGGACACGGGGAGATTTTTAAATGCTGCGGGTCGGCAGCGAACGCTTCGCTCCCGCCCGCCAGCATTTTAAGATCGCCCGGGGCAGGCGGGGGGAAGGCAGGCGGGGGGGAGGTCCTCTTCTGAAGGCCGGCTGTGGGCGAAAGTCTTTGCTCCCGACCGCCAGCATTTCCCTATGGGCTTTCGTCTTGCGATGCAAGCCCATAGGGAAATTCGTCTTGCGAAGCGCCTCCAAAACAGAAAACCCTTTCGTCTTGCGGGTTTTCCGTCTTGCGAGGCATTCGTCTTGCGGGGTACCACTGTAATTGCATAATCTGTGTACTATCTTACAGAAATTCATCCTGCATATTATAATGACAGTGATGGTGTTCCATTAATCTGCCCAGCAGTACTTTTAATCTGATCCTCTAATTTAGACGTTTAACAGAAGTGCCAGGAAACAAATGTTTCCTATATCTTGATCAATATTGATAGATAAAGACTGAGTAGTATTCTAGGCATCGTTTTACCTTTTTCTTCCTCTAAGCTAGACAGTGAAAATGTCAGACAGATGCATCCTGAAAGATAACAACATCTTTCTCCAAAAGGGGAAAGTTGGTCTCACTGTAAAATAATGCAAACCGAAAAGAAAATGCTATTTATTCTCAAACTGGGCCTTTCTGAGAATGATGACTATTTTGAGATTTTATCCAACTGAAGTGAATAACAGACGCACAACATTGAATTGGAGCTGGATGGCCCTGAAATGATTATATTTATGCAAGAGAAGTCCATAATGGATATTGTTCTTTTGTGTACTCCATAGCTGGATTGCAAAAGCAGCATCAGCATCTTCTAAGTGCCTGTGAGTGGGAAAATACAGTAAGCCCACAATGGAAAGTCCTGGGTCCAGGAGGTGTTAGAATTTAATCAGCACTTGGGGAGCTAAACTGGATGTCAGATTCCTAATCCTTGGACCCAGCTTTCTGTGTTCAGGAGATCACCTGGGAGCCGGGCCATTAAAAGAACAAAAGAAAGATAATGGACCCTTAAGAAAGCCAAAGACAGGGGGCCTTGTGCCAGATGACAATTGGTTGGGGCCGCTCCTCCCGCTCTGAGATAGCCAGAGTTTAGAGTTGATGGTAGGCTGTGATGTGACCTAGAGGGAAACAGGTTGCAAGCTGGTAAAGGCAGCAAGCTGAAAAGTCAGAGATGCGGAGCACAATGTTGGGTGTCTCTTTGAATCCAAGGTTGCAGCTGACTCTTTGGGGATATTGATGCAGTGAACCTGTCCATCTTAGGCTCAGGTTGTATATGTGTGTAAATAGGCCATATATCCTAAAGACAGCCCAGTCTCTGCTGTGCCTCATTTTCAAAATGAAACATGAACCCTGGCTGAGTGTCTGGAACCCCTGGAATCTCACACCGCTATGAGATTGGGGTAGCGTATAACAATATAGTGACTTATGTACATATGTATGATGTATCTGGAAATTAAATACACTTAGGTTTGAAGATTATTTTAGTTGTGAATTATTATGTTGAGGTTTGTATTAATTATGCATATATTTCTAGAAGTGGTAATGGAATATGCATTTGGTATATTTTCCTTTATTATACTAAAGTAATTTTCAAAACGTGTACTGTGATGCTTAGTGGTAATTATGGACATTGAAGTTGGCAAATTATAAGTAATTAGAGCAGGTTTCCATAGTAATTCCTGTGTTCTGAGTCCTTTGATTATTTGGCCATATTTTTGGAAAAGACAATCAAAAGAGGCAATCTTTGGGACGCATAAAGAATGAAATGATATATATTTACACTTGTTTAATCTTAAATCAAAATACAGTTTTCTAGAACTTCCAGCATTATAGCTTAGTTTATTATGCTATTGTAGAAAAAAGAAGCAACAGAAAGGGAGTGGAAATCAGTAAAACATTACAGAATTTAAAATAAAGCAGATAGTCTGAGGCCTTGGTTGTCATTTTTAGGTCACTGCTGACATCTCTGAATATAATTTTCATATGAACTGCATTTCAGGGCTTGTATGTGCTTGAAGAAGCGACATTTTCACAGCAGGGAACCAAATCAAAATGAAGCAGTCAGATGCAGGTGCACAGTAATGGAAGTGGGCTATTTACCCTCAAGCAGGATTGCTGGGCTGGGAAAGCAGAAACTCTCCCAGCAGAATGGCCCTGCTATTTCTCTCTGATATATATCTCAGTGCCAAACAGTATTCATAGGGGGCCTAAATAATTGTTCTTTCACTTGTATTTAATGAGATGCATTGCCCAATGCTGAATAACTGAGGCACTTCCTTTTGTTATGCTAACTAGATGCTATTCAAGCCCTGCTTTCTTTGACTTCTGTTTAATCCTTCCTGCTTCTCCAGCCTCAAGCCAGGCAGGGAAACAGTTGAAAAAATGGAGGCTTGCACTGTGTACATCTGCTGCCTAGCTCAGTCCTATTTTGTTAAAGAAGTAAGAGGGGGAGAACATAGGATTTGTATATGCAGCATTACAGTCACTACACACATATTGTACAGCTATGCACAAAATACAAAAAAATTATATGGTTATGTATTCTCCAAAAAAGCATATGCAAGTATTTGCTTGTACAGTATACACATTAAATTAAATTAATAATAATAAAGCAAAAGGCAGGGTGATGTCATCTCATTTATTGCACAGAAGCAGGCTGGGCTGATAGCTGAATCTTGCTTCAATTCTGGTGATTGGATAGTAACATTGGTGATGGAACAGCAACCTCCATCACACCTCAGGGCAGCAGGCTGGTGTTAGTGGGCTAGCGGGATGTAGCATATATACAACACTGTCTTTGAACATAGGGGCTGCTGCTGCCACTACCCCACAACATCTGTTGCCTGAGGCATTTGCTTTACTATGCCCCAATGGTAAAGATACCCATGGTCTAAAGATCCATGTTTTGTGCTGTGGAGATGCACATGAAACATGCATGTGTTTATATATGATGCACTTATGGGGATCTCTTTTGAGTTTCACACTGAAAGCATTTGACAATGAAAAATAAGTTATGAGTTCAAATGAGTTCCCTAGTAATAATAAGTTTATTATCTGCCTTACAGATAAACTGATGTGGTTCTTTGTAAGAGAAAGTTTCTTGATTCCTCCTTTCTTCAGAGGTATATTTATGGCTTCACCTGTTGACTTTTTTACTTTACAGATTGGGGAGAAACAAAATGTTCTTGTGACAGAAGAATCATTTGATTCCAAGTTTTATGTTGCTCATAATCGATTCTACGAGCAGGTAAATTTTTTCTTGGACTGGTGGGGGAGGCAGCAGGAGAGAGAATGTCTTTCTTTCCCTCCTTATTTTAACAATCATATAAAGATTAACGTATTTTTCGCTCTATAAGATGCACCGGACCATAGGAGGGAGAGAACAGGGGGGGGATTCTCCCCCTCTGCTCAGCGCCCCTTCAACGAAGCGGCAGGAGAAACTGAGCCCCTTCCATTTCTCCTCCCGCTTCGCTGAAGGGGAGCTGCGCAGAGAGGGGAAACTGTGCAGCGCCTCTCCAGCAAAGCAAAGCCTAGAGAGCAAGAGGGATCGGTGTGCACCGACCCCTCCCGCTCTTCAGGCAGCTATCCGCAAGCCTTCGGAGCGCAGCGAGAACTCCCGCTGCTCTCCGAAGGCTTGCGGATAGCTGCCTGAAGCCCCCAGAGCACAGCGGGGGCTGGGCGGGGAAAGCCCGAGAACAGGTTGGGGAGCAGTGGTGCCTTCTCCGTCCTGGGGAAAAGCCCTCAAGAGCCGCGCGAAGCTTGTGTGCGGCTCTTGGGGGCTTTTCCTGCCTGCCTCCCCCCCCCACCCTGCATTCACTCCATAGGACGCACAGACTTTTCCCCTTAGTTTTTAAGAGGGAAAAGTGCGTCCTATGGAGCGAAAAAAGGACGCACTTTTCCAAAATGAAGGGGAAATGTGTGTGCGTCCTAAGGGGCGAATGCAGGCTTTCGCTGAAGCCTGGAGAGCGAGAGGGGTCGGTGCGCTTCCAGGCTTCAGGAAGCTATCCGCAAGCCTTGCAAGCCCGGCGGGAGGTCCAGTGGGCTCGCAAGGCTTGCGGGCAGCAGCCTGCAGCCCACAAGCTCGGGGGATAGCGGGGAGGCGCAGCGCCGCCACCCCGCTATTCCCCGACCTGATCTGAAGGCTGGTGGGGGGGAGAAGCAAGCCGCTGCCCCAACGGAGGGGCTCCAGGAGAGGCTGTCCCTGAAGGCAGAAGAGGGAGACGGAGCGCTCTGTCTCCCTCTTCTAGCTTGGGGATGGCTGTGCAAAGCCTCTGCAGGGCAGCGGAGTGCGCTGCCCCACAGAGGCTAAGGAGGCTGTCCCTGAAGGCAGAAGAGGGAGACGGAGCGCTCTGTCTCCCTCTTCTAGCTTGGGGATGGCTGCGCAAACCTGGGGTGAAATAAAAAAAATTTCCTTGATTTCCCCCCAAAAAAACTAGGTGCGTCCTATGGGCCGGTGCGTCCTATAGGGCGAAAAATACGGTTATTCATCAATGTAATCTATTTACTGACATTACCTCCTTCAAAAACACTGATATGGAGGTACCCTTGTGTATCCTCATTTATATGGCTTCTATGCCTTTAAAATTCTGTTGGACAGAAATCATCTGCAACTGGTTTTCAGTTGTATGCAAAGCTACATGCTTATAACAATATTTTGATATCTGGAACCTATGTGAGATGAAAGAAAACCTCAGTGTATACCACAATAAAACATGTAACAATCCTGAATGCTTATTTGGTTAAGAATGTAATTACAAAGCAGAACTGTTTAAAATTTCCTGATAGTAAATTAATTTGAATACATCTATTCAAATCCTGAGGATATACATCAGAGAACCTGAAAGAAAAAGTAGATCTGATGTTGCATATGTTTTTGTTAAGGTAGGTCTACCTATTACCAAATTTTACAGTAACATGCATTAGTAACTGAGATTTGCAGATTTTATATTTACTCCCCCCCTCCCCATGTCTAAATGTCAAACTTGAGTACTTTAAAGTGTTCCATTTAAGCAAGTTTTTTTTATTGTTGTTTTAAAGGTACTTGTGCCAAAGAACCCTGAGTTCATGGGTAAAATGGTAGAAGTGAACATTTTTGAAGCAGGGAAGCACTTTATGAGGGGGAGCCCAGTGTCGGATGCCAGAGTGTTCACCCCGTCTATCACTAGGCCATTAGCCAAAGGAGAGGTGTCTGGTTTAACAGAGGTGAGTAAAATACATGTCAGCCTTTGCTACTCTAGTAAAAAAAAAAAGTGAATGTGACGGCTTTTTAGATGTGAATGAAGCTCTAACCTTTTAAAACAAATTACAATCTGAATTTTAAGTGAATTGTTCTGGGTAATGTGGAATTTGTCCATTGTAGAAGCATCTCTAATTTTGCTTTTTTATTTCTATGATATAAAATGGGGAAAATAGTTAGGAGGACAACTTTTAACAGTCCTTGGGAGAAGATTATAAAGGATTATCTTGCTATAATCCAGTTGAATCATCAGACAAGAATGCTGCCAGTCTGAGGTGGTTTCATGAGAAATTTCTGCACCTACCACATTGGCCTGAATATAAGCCTCACTTTTTCTCCAAAGTGCGGCTTAAATTTGCAACCTTACAAAAATTGGTTTTTACGATATCGCTGCTGAAACAGACATATGGTAAAATGGAACAGGTGTGAGTGTCTGCAGAATTTTAAGGGAGCGGCTTATATTCAGGTGGTGTCTTTTTTTTCTTTTCCCCCCTTGAATTTTCAAGGTGTGGCTTATATTCGGGCCAATACGGTATATGTAAAAATAGTAGGTGCTGCTTATGGTTTTTGCATGTTATATTTTGTTCACAATCCACGTTCCTGTAATATGCCTGAAATACTATTGCACTCAAAATAGCTGCATTGCTGGAATTAATTTTTCTTGGATTTGCTTTGCATTTAACTGTAACACACTCCATGTAGTTATTACCCTTTCGATGAACCAGCTCTGCCTGAATTCTTCATCAAATAATATTATTTTTTTATAGTTTTATTCTTAAATTATCCCTTAAGTTTTGGCTTTCATGTCATGGTTTAGCACAGACAACAAATAGTAAATAAACTTCCAGTGAAACTTGGTGGTTTTAATATTTTTATGACATGTGATTTTAAATGGTGTTACACCTTCTATGGGGAGCACTAAAGCATATAGTCTGTGTTAAACACAGAGGGGATTTGGGCCAGTGATCTGTAATTCTTGTGCCTTGATTTTAATACTTTCATGATATTGGGAGTAGTGTTAGGCAATGTTAGGTTTTCAACATTGTGATGTATCAAACATCGCAATCTGGCGATACACCACAATATTGAAACAAGCCGCATTGGCCATAGCCCGTGAGGCATAGGGTGAAACTGTCACACCTGTCACTGTGGGAGCTGAGGCGCTTGCACCTTGCAGGCTGGGACCAATGCAGCTAGCTGCTGGCCAGCTGCTTGGCTGGGGGGGGAAGCCCCCGGGAAGCCCAATCTCTCCACTGAAGGGCAGGCAGCCGCATGCCCTGAACAGAAAAGTTTAAAGGAGCCCCCACCCCACCTCCGGCTCATGCAAGCTGGAGGAAAGGTGGGGGCTCTATTACACTTCTTGGTTGATGAGCAGGCAGCCAAGGGAGGAACAAGCTACCTTGGTCCCTGCCAGTGTACCGTATTTTTCACTCCATAAGATGCACTTTTTTCCTCCTAAAAAGTAAGGGGAAATGTCTGTGTCTCTTATGGAGTGAATGGACTGGGCGGCAGAGGGATCCCTTGGCTACCGCTGTGAGGGATGCCTCTGCAGCCGCAGCCATGGCTCCCGTCCGTCGCTTGCTAGAAAGCCAGCAGAGCAAGAGCCTCTGGGCAGCTCTTGCTCTTGCTCTGCTGGCTTCCCAGCAAAGCGGGATGAGGGACGGAAGGGGCTCTGTGTAAGGGCTCCCTTCCGTCCCTCATCCTGCTTTGCTGGGAAGCCAGCAGAACAAGAGCTGCTGCGCAGCTATCGGTCTTGCTCTGCTGGCTTCACAGCGAACCAGGAGGGACGGACGGGAGCAAGCAAAGCGAGAGCTGCTTACATGGCTTCTGTCCTGCTTTGCGCAGCTCTCACTTTGCTTGCCCATCCCTCCTCCCACCTCGCTGTAAAGCAAGCAAAGCACCTGTCCCAGTGTCTCCCCCTCCTCTTTTACAGCGTGGTGGGATGGGCAAGCAAAATGAGAGCTGCGCAAAGCGGGACAGAAGTCATGTAAGCGGCTCTTGCTTTGCTTGCTTTAAAGCAAGAAAAGCGAGAGCAGCTTACATGCACTGTGCAGAATACCGTATTTTTCGCCCTATAGGACGCACTTTTCCCCCTCCAAAAATGAAAGGGAAATGTGTGTGCGTCCTACGGGGCGAATGCAGGCTTTCGCTGAAGCCTGGAGAGCGAGAGGGGTTGGTGCGCACCGACCCCTCTGCTCTCCAGGCTTCGCGGACCTCTCCGCAAGCAGCAGGAGCACTCCCGCTGCTTGCGGAGAGTTGCCTGCATGCTGAAGCCTGCGCGCGCCGAGCTCAGCGCGTCCAGCCTTCGCGGACCTCTCCGCAAGCAGCGGGAGCCAGCGCTGGGCTCCCACGGCTTGCAGAGAGCTCCCTGTTTGGGGGCTGGGGTCGGGGGAAACTCGGGCTTCCCCTGCCCCAGCCCTGCGCCGGGGGGGGAATAATTCCCCCCCCTTTATTTCCCCCCAAAAAAGCTAGGTGCGCCTTATGGGACAGTGCGTCCTATAGGGCGAAAAATACAGTATTTTTTTTCTTGCTTTCCCCCTCTAAAAACTAGGTGTGTCTTGTGGAGCAAAAAATACGGTAGCTTGTTCCTCCCTCAGCGGTTTGGGGCCAGAGGCGGTGGCCTTTTCACCCGGCAGTATATTGCAGGTCAAACTGCTGCTGCTCCTGAGTCCCTCTGCCGCCAGTGCCCGACTACAGCTTGTTTCTCCCTCGCGCTTTGGGCGCTGGTGGCAGAGGCACTCAGCAGAGGCAGTTTCACCTGCAATATAACGCCAGGTGAAGCAGCCATCACAGTCTGGCCCTCATACCAATCCTGGACTATGTATCAATACTTTGCCCAGGCCTACTTGGGAGAGAGTTTCACGATTGAGATGATGCCACTAAGAAGGCCATGTTACTGTTAGTCACACTTACCTTTAAAGTAGAACATGGATCAAGGGCTCTGGTGATGACCATAACTGACAGGCAGGTTCTTGTAGGAGAAGACAGTCTTTCAGATATTCTGGCCCCAAGCCATTTAGGGCTTTAGAGGGTAGCACCCAGCACCTTGAATTGGGCCTGAAAACAGATACAACAAGATGAGTGTAATATCCAGAAAGTGGAAACCTGAAAGCATTCTGGCTGCCACATTTTGCATGAACCACAGTTACTGGCAGTTTTGTGTAGGTATGTTTCAGTAAAATGCTCTGTTAAGTAAGGCATGTGTATGTAACTGGCCAGCTCTGGCTTCTCCAGGAAAGTAAGCAGTTCATGCATCTGTCTAAATTGAGCAAACACACATTTCAGCTACAGTTGCCAGCAAGATCTGCACTGTCAGATCTAATAGTAGCTCCCAAGTTGCAATCTGGATCCAGAACCGGTTGTACATCCTCTACTGGACCAGTTTGTCTACTGACCATCAGCATCTCTGCCTTCTATGGATGAAGCCTCGGGTTTTAGCCCGTATCCATCATTGTCCCCACACCACAGTCCAGTATATCTACAGCCTTCTTGGCACCAGTTGAAATGGAGAGATAAGAGTTGGCTGTCAGCATGACCTCTCCCATCAGCTTCATGTAATCTGGGGGAAACCAATACCACCCCCAAGAGTGCCTCACCTAGCTCAGGCAAGGAGACAAATGGTGGGTGGCATCTAAACACATCAAATAAATACAGAATTATGCAAAACACTTTGATGAAAAGCAGTATATTAAACATAATTAATTAATAAACAAACAAAATCATTAGAATCCCAATCCTGTCTGTTACCCAAGGTTCACACACTCTAAACCAGGAGGTCACTTGAAAGTGTATCTTGATAGGCGGATTGACTTCCAATAGCTCCATACAACTCTGCCTCCCTGCCCCCTGGTTCCTACCTCCTGCTGCATGTGTAACCTGGTGGGTATAATTGTGTCAATTTGACCTCTCCTTCCTTCCCTAATTAGGTTTCTGCTACACAGGCTAGATCAGCATCCTCATCCAGGAGCAAGTCCAAAGTCTAGCACAAATTGGGCAGCTTCTTTTCATTTTCCCGACAATGAAATGCTTTACTTAACCTGAGAGTGACTAAAACAATGTCCTCTAGGATGGTTAAGGAAACAAAAGACTATCCACAATTATAGATGTATTACCCACAGTGTTAGAGTTTAAGTGAATTTTGTCTGTTTTGATTCAAGAGTATAAAGTGTTTCGCTCAAAAATGAGATTTTGCTGGTTAGAACTGAAGTTTATAAATGTTAGATGGTTAACTGCCAATAATATCAAAAGGAATAAAGTCAACATTTCATACATTTCCCCCAGGTTGCACAGCAGAAAGAACTGAAACATAGTTACTCTTTTTCATCTTTTTTTTTTAAATGTCAGGGTCAGTTGTTTCCAGCCAATTGTGTCAAATAGTCATCAACAGTTTTCCATTTAGGCTTCTCTTGAGAGTAAGGATGATCCCCAGGAAAAGAATTTCACTCACCCAAAACATGATATAGTGCTGTTCATTATAAATGGCAATATCTTTCTTCCTAGTTGGAGTCCAAATTATGGTGAGGTGACTACTTTTCCTTCTTTTGTATTTCCTTTGCAACCCCAAATACTCTTTTCAAATGCGGTGGAACCTGTGGCTCACATGTTTTCAACCTGGTTTCAGTCAGATGAAGCTTTGATCCTAGTAACAACTTCATTTGAACATTAAGGCACACCCACCCTTCCCTTGCCCCTCCCCACCCTTAATCTTTTGAGAAGAAACTGGGTTTTAAATAAATTGTGAGAGAGCGTTTTTTCCATTACCGGGCTAAAGATCAGAAGAAGATTCAGATGATTCAGATGTTCTTAATTATATGTATATGTAGCACAGAAGGTTTGACCCTTAAAACATCTATTAACACTCTTTCCTCTGAACCTTTATTCTCTCTAAAGCACAAAAGTTTAAAGAAGTTTTAAATTTGCAGACTTTAATAATAAAAAAAGCAAATGAAAGCTGCATGTGTAAAGGTAAGAAGTAGTAAAGAAAAAAGTGTTGAAAGTAGATCTGATGTCCGACAGATCAGTGACCCATTTGTGAAAAGCCAGTTTGGGCATTCCTTTCTCATCTCGTAATTTTTCACACCTAAGATCTTTGATTGAGTTCCTGGCAGGGGGTCTTTTTGCAATATTTTAGAGAATCCAATTGTACATTCTGTGTTCCGTGTACTATTGGAAGATAAGAATAGCTCACATGCCGGTAATAGTTTAGATATTTAATATGGTTTTTACCACTGCGAAGATAATCAACTCAATGAATGAACAATTAACTTTTAATTTACTCTCATAACTAATATACACAATGTTTGTATTGCCTATTATTTCAAAAGGGGACAGGAACTTATGTGGCCCAATTTCCTTTATATACACAACATACTTTGATATATTGACTATGCTTATGTTGGGGTGGGGGAATAAAGTATATTTGAGCCTGAGTTCTGAAATCTGCTCCCATTACTGCTTCTTGCATTATGGCAATCTTTGGACTAGAGCACTGTTGTTGTTTCCTCTGAGCAATCCCTGGTAAACTGTATATTTGGCGGGTTCAGCTTTGACATGACTATCTCAGCATTTTCCTCTGCAAGTATCCTGACCACATATAGTTCTTTGCATGCTCTCTAAGTTGCACAGAGAAAATTTCCTGCTAATGTAACTGCATTTTGTGTTTGTGAAGTAAACACTTCCCCTCAGGGATAGCTCCAGAGGGTGGCAAGAGTGGGCATTTACCTGGATCCCAAGACCAGCAGAGGGCCCCCCCCCAAAAAAAAAACAGTACTGTTTCCACAGAGTAACCAAGATCATCAAGAGTAGCATAACCCAATTCTTAGTTTGTGTGTTCTATCTCTTCTAGGTGCATGTAAGAGGGGCCTCTGAACCCTGAAGCCTATGCAGCTTTCACTACAGTGGAGGCTGCATTAGGCTGCTTTATGTGAATGGCTCAGACAAGAGTCCTGCTTGCCAGCTATAAGGGTTTTTTGTGTGCTTGACTGCAAATTCTTTTAAAGAAACAGTTATTTAAGATAGGAAACTGCCTTGTAGAGTATTCACATTAAATTTAGTCTAGAAATAGCTGCTAAAGAACGAGAGTACATCAGAGAACAATATCATTTTACTCAGAAGGTCTCTTTATAGGAACAACATATTGCCCATTCTTTCCAAGGCTTATTATGTGTGATAAGCATTAGAAATTTTGCTTATCTTGTTGGAAGCTTCTTTCCTACCAGAACTGTTTAACATGCATGTCTGCACATAAACAAAGAAGCTGAGAACACTGTTAGCATAGATTAATAGCCCAGAATTCCCTAGGAGGAAGAAATCATGCTCCTATTTCATCAGAGATCATTTTAGTATATAAAGCTACTGTTGTGGTGCCTTCAGAGTCAGAGAGTTAACAGCCAAAAATAGCATCTGAAAACCTGAACCAGCCAAGGTCATGAGGTGGTTGTACTGTAAGTTTGTGTTCCTTTCTCCTCCAGGCATATCATATGGTTGTCATTTTCAAGTATCTCCTATGTTGTCCACAATTTCTTTCTTTGGACTCCTGATAGATGGTTTTGGCATTAACGCATTTCAGTGGAACTACTTGGAATTTCACAAAAGAAACTGAAATAGGCAGAAAGCACTGCCTGCTAAGCTTGTGGAAGCAATCCAAGAGGCTCACGTGGATTCAGATTCTCTTATTTTGCAAGAAATTATATTGCCTAGGACTTTTGAGATCATACATTTATGATACAAGCAGATTGTTTTCAGCATAAACGTTTTAAAATGATTTAATGTAACTAACCTGCAGAGAGAGAGGAATTACTTTTGCTACTTTTAGTGATGCATGAGGATTAAAAAGCATTCTTGCAAAGATAAATTATGCCACACCTCTGGCTGGTTGACTGCTACATATTGATAAGCCATATTGCTGTGAGCTCTTTCCCCTCCAGTAAGTGTGGCTTGGAGAAATGGGAAATGCAGTTTTTCACATCTGAGTGGCTTTATGCTTCAAGATGTTGGGTATTTAAATGTTCAGAGGGAAATTCTGTTTTGCAAGGAAGGTGGGAGTCATACCAAAATAAGACATACATATTTGAAATATTCTGGGTTTTGCACAACTTAAAATATTTGCAAAGAGTTATGAAATCCTAACATCAGATTATTTGTACTGAATCTACTAGTAGTCAACTTAATTGGATCACACAGTTTCTAGTACTCTATTCTCTGCTCATGAATACAGACTTTTGTAAGCAGATCTCCTACCAGTCCTCCCCCCGCTCTGGATTTTAAAGTGCAAATCTCAGAAATACTTCCATACAAATAAATGAGTTGGAGCCACCAAACGATTGGACTGGGGAAGAGGGTGGCAGGCAAGTCAAGCAGCTGGGATGTTTTTAGAAGGCAGTAATAAGCGTAGGCTGTGGCCTCAACTCTACATCTTGTTCAAGGCCTTATAATATCAATAAGTTGTTGATCAACACTCATAAAGTGCCTAGCATTTTCTAAGCATTGTATAGATATTCAAAGATAAAACAGTCCCTGCCCGCAGGCTCACAAGGGCCAAGTTTGCACATAGATCATTTTTGGCCATGAACATCCTGATCTGAGCCATTTTGTTCTTGCCTGCTTAGCAGGTGAGAAAAACCAACCACAGTCTCTCTCTTCATGTTATTACTGAACCAGCTATCACGAACCACCATCAGTAAGCCAAAAACAAACCTTAACTATTATTTACCATGACATGTGAAGAGGGCCGAAGGAGCCTTGGAACAGCTGCTCCTTTTCTTGCCAGTGTACGTGGTTCTCGCTCTTGCCATGGGGTACAACCTCCCAGTGGCCCTAAGAGGCTCCCTCTGGCTGGTGGCAGTATCTGAAGTGTGCCTCATTGCTTCATAATAACTGTGTGACACATCACTGTCAGTTACTGTGTTGTCTCAACATTCTTCTCCTTTAGCAATTTGATAGTGACTCTAGCACACACACAATGCAACTAAGAATCCTGGCTCAAACTTTGCCTAGGAAGCTTACTGTTATGATCCTGAATTGAGGGGCTTGAGTAAAAAGCCATGGTCCAAACCTTGGTGATGTATGCCTGGCATTAATAGATGACACTCTGCTACATAGCATCCATTAAAATTGGTAGAATAAATTTGAGCTGCGCCATTGAGCACCTATTTCCCTTTTGAGACCACAGAACTTACTCAAGGATCAAAATAACTTCTCTAGAAGCATATATAGTATAAATTTAACATTCCTGATAGAATGTGTTTGGAAAAGAACAGTATTATTAATTTGGAAACATGCCAAAAAACCCACCCAACACCCTAGCAGCAACGTTCAGAGAGCAGAGGTCTTTCCTGCATTCATTAGGAGCATTTATGTGAAGTTATCCCTCTGCTGATTAGGTAAATCAAAAAAAGTTCCCAGAACTTAACATTTCCAGGGAGAGAGTTTCTGTTAATGACTCTTAAACTTGACTGAGCATGAAATTAAAAAAAGAGTCTTCAGTCACTCCCTCTGGTGTTTAGATGCATGCCAGCCGGCACAGAAAGCACCTACACTACTTTGGTGTGTGAGAAGACAATGGAGCCATGAGACTTTTATATAAACAACTTTGTATTCATGGTGAACTCAGGGAATACTAAAGTGGTCTGTTGATAGACTTGCGCTTGGTGAGTGATCAAATCCCATGTCAGCCACCAGGGCCACTGGCACTGGCATGTGAAGGATGCACATGATTCCATAAGCTACTAATGTTCCTACGTACCGAACAGATCTCTTCCCGTGTAACAAAAAGGTGACCAATGGAGAAAGGGGAAAAAGAGGGAAAGTGTCCCTGTATAAACATGGGACTTGTGATTTGATAGATTCTATGAGAGCAGAATCATCAAGACCTACAGAGGAAACGGGAGTCGAGGAAGGAGTGTTCAACTGTATCAAAAGCAGGCAGAGAAGCCAAGGAGGATGAGGACTTGAATAGAGACTTTTTGGATTTAGCAGGATAGTTTTGGTGAGGGCAGTTTCAGTGGAGAAAGTTGAGAGTAGGAGTAAGCAGTATGCTCAGTGGGTTTGGGGAGAAAGGAAATTGCACAATAATTGGCGAGAGCAGATGGGTCAAGAGGTGATTTGTTTATTTTAGAAGAAGGGAAGCTGTGTTTTACGTATATATTCCTTCCAATCTGTAATGTCAGTCTTGGCGTACATGAGTAAGATCTCATGCAACCCTGCACTATAATTATTAGATTTATTTTGTAGGTTGCAGGTGCATCAGAAAGCGGGAAATGAGTGAGACCGAATAAGAGTGCGCAAATACATATTATTACTGGCACACATCAGGTCAGAATTATTCAGCAAATACTCTGAAATGCATTTGATCATACACTGGAAGTGTTAATAATTTATATTATGCCTTATTAGTAAAACCTTTTGTTTCTGCTGCTGTCACAGCCAAAACAAGTTGAAAGGCTACTTCCAGAACAGTTAATAGGTTTGCCGTGTTGTTGGTAATTTTTACACCTGACTTTGAGGATTTCATAAAATATAATCTATTACTGAGGTTTGATTAACAGTTCCATTCCCCCTCCCCCAATATATGTTCTTTCCTTCTCCTTTCTCTTGTTCTATTTGAACAAAGTGCCCATTAAAGTGAACTGGGATGGCTGCTCTCAGTTTCCACTTCTTTCATGCAAAAACGTACATATTTCATGCTGCATTGTCAAAAAGGAAAGGATTAATTATTAAAATTCTGTCATTATGGGCGGGGGAGTGCCTTGCAGCATTTCAGGGATTTCATGTAAATCTATGATGTTTGGGGCTGGGGGAGGAATCCCCATTAATAATGAGGCTTCTCAAGACACAGTTAATTTCAAGCTGCAAATGTTGGATTTAACATGACTTCAAGACCTGACACTGAACTCATTCTCTGAGTGGTTTTAAATATTTGCTAAATATTGGGACTGACAGTATACTAATCGTATTTACTATGTGACTCGTGTAGTATAGGCCATTGTCCAAAAAACAAAATTCATGCTTTGCTTTCATTCTCTTAGATCTAATGACTGATATAAAAACAATCAAAATAGTTTTGATGCTACGGATATGTACTGCCATTGGACATCTAATTTTTAAGGGAGGTAGATTGCAGGCTCATTAATATGCCTTGGGCATTTATTACTAACAACAGTTGAAAATTCATGATAATTGATTATTGACGCAAAAAAAATATAATGGTATCTTATTCTTTATATTGCTGTTTCTTCCTATATTGTTGCATATTTGATTATTTTTGCATGTTCCTACATTTTATCTAGCCCATTTGTGTTTGTAAATTTTTGTTTCCAGTATTCTACAAAAACCATTCTTACTATTATTATCATATAGCAATTTGAATCCAACGTTCAGTACATCCCTATATCTTTTCCATTATAATTTTTATCTTTTTCCATACAGTGCTTCTTTGATTCTGGTGGTCCAAGAACAAGTCTATCACAAATGATAAATATCACCTTTCACAGTTAGGAATTCGAGGACATTTTTGTCTTGCTTATCAGGAAAGCAGCAATAAACTCCGATAAGCAACTTGTAGTAATTTTCCTCAAGCGTCCATATTTAGGAGAAAGGTTTGGCAGTTATTGAAAAATGTTCCCATATTTGCATAGATATCTTCTCTTTGATGCCCAGAGTACAGTTCACTGTATTTCTTATACCTTTTTCAAATTTATATTTTTATTTCTGCAAGATTTTATAGATTCTTCACAAGCTTTGTTTATTATTCCTTCTCCCATCTTATTAAAACTCTTAATTGGATATTTGATCTCAAAAAATAATTTAGATGGATCTAATTTGGAAAAAAACTCAAACTAAGCAGAGAACCTTTTACCCAAAGTTGATTTTTAAAGAAAACTTAAATTGTATTGTCATCATTTCATCTGAATACACAATTACCCCTTCATGTCCCGTGTTTTCCCACATAAATTCTAATTAATCATCAACTACAGAAGCTAGTGGGGATTTGGGGCAGGACTTGTTCTTACTTAGTATTTATCCCAGATCTATAGAAGATTAAAGTACCTTTTTCTTTGTACCCCTGGAGCATAAACTACTGTTGACCAATAATAATGCTTGTGGATAATGTCTTAATAAAGCTTTTTCAAACAGACATATCAATAAATTTGGATTTTTAATCCAATCAATGATGCCTCGGACATTTTCCCAGCAAGTAAACCATATCATAAAAACCTCTGTCAAGAGAGTCTTGGATGTTGTTAGCTTACCAAATTAAAGACTAAAATGGAGCATTCTTCACACTGGAACTCTTGGCCTTGGCTGAAACTCAGAAAGAAAGATTGGCCCTGCAGCAAACCATATTCACTCATTAGGCTTTCTTTGGTCATGCAGATACTCCTATTCTAGTTAAGGTAACATTGATCAAATTAGGCATTTGTCTAAGCACAATTTATAAATGTAAAAATTTATCACTTAGAAAGTAAAACATATTCACTGAATATAGGGTATACTGTAAATTGATAATGGGATAAAGAAAACTAATAGGCATCCAAGGAAATAATTAGATTCCTCTGTGCAAGCTTTTCTTCCAAGTTTAATCAGTCTACAAAATGAAGTCTATTATGAGGTAGCTTTTGTTGCAAATTAGTGAAATGTTTAATAATTGGTACTCTGTGGTTTCCAGTTTATTTCTCCATATAAAGGTTAATTAGCTTTGACTCCAGGAATGAATAGCTGTAGCCAGTTATTAATTTTTCAGATTCATTAGGCAATTGATTTTAATTACTCTGTCTGTCGCTACATGGAAATAGCCATCTATTTATGTAATATTTTATGATGGAAGTCTAGTACTACCTTCCGAATGGTGAATACAGTTTAGTATTCTTTTATTCCCATGGCTTTAACACCTTTCTGCATAATAACCTCACGTTCCACAAGTTTCTAACACCTGTAGTTCATTCATGCACCATAAGTCATTGCTACCTTAAATGTTTAAAAAGGAATCTGTGGGTGGGGGTGCTGGAAGGTTGGCACCTAGGGATGGAGAGGGGTCCTCTCCTTATGAGCCTAGATGTCAGAGAGGGAGAAGCAGAGCTGCTGGCAGGCCCTTCTGGTGGAGCACAGAGCCTCATCGGGGAGAGAGGAGGACTACAACCAGCCAGGAGGGTCTGAAGGAGGAAGAGGTGGTGGCAGAGCTGGAAGCAAAGAGGCAGGTCACTGTTTTATCATCAAGAACCAGGCGCTGCCTTCATAAGTGGAATCAGACAGTGCGCACATAGCTGACACATAGGGCAAGTTGCCTCATCTTTAAAAGCTTGGTGGGAGGGCTGTGTCAACCATTGGGACATCTTCCATTTGCTTATGGACCTCTTACCTTGCTCATGTACCTTGTAATCTTGACTACTGAGCCTTGTGCCTGCTGCCAAGGCTATACCGCTATTAGCCCGAATAAAGATAGCAACACGTACTGGTAAATAAGGATATCAGTGTATTTTGGGATGGGTGCCTGACAGCTAAAGTAACCAAGGTACTGAGAGTCCCTGTGGGATCAAAGGCTAGCTCTGAACTGAAGATCCAAGAGGAATCTCTTGGAAAGGTCTAGATGAGATATTGGAAGTGGGTTTATGCACTTGTAGCATAAGATGATCATTCCAAGGACAAAGTTGATCACAGGCCAGGAATCCATCTGAAGGAGGATTGCTAAATAATGTAGGGCAGTGATGGGGAGGAAAATTATATAGGCAAGGTAGGAAAACAAGAGGACCAGCAGGCACCAATGTACACAGAGAGGGGAGGCAGATGGGCAAGGAGACAAAGACAGAGACCTGACTGATAAGTATTTATAGTCACACCACGTCAATAAGAACCAAAGGACTGCAGGAGTAAGTCAGATTGGGCAGTGATGGATTTAGTGCTAATACACCAATAGAAGAACAACAGGAGTATATACCTGATGTTTCCATCAGGTTTGTATCCCTAACAGCAAAAGCGGTTGTAAGCACACCTGGATATTCCTCCCAAATGATAGCTATTATAGAAAACAATAGTGCATATTTCAGGTGCTGGGGAGCTATACTTGGCCATAATCTCCCAGAGTGTGTGCAGTGAAATAGATGCACATGCCAATCACACATGCTTTTTTTCTCCTGTGTGGAAAAGTAGCTCCGAGTATGATCAATAAGATGGATGTTTTAGTGCAGGCACCTCCTGAGAGAGATGGGGAAAGAACTGCAGAGGATGTTAGAAGACTGCTGAGCTGGCATACTGTGGGACAGAAACAATTATCAGACTTAGTGGTGCTGTACAATGGGAAAGACAACAGTGCTGCTGGTCCACTTTATCACTGACTGCAGATTTGCCTTTTAAGGAAACAGAAATACTAAAGGGAAAATACAGATCTCAAATGAATTGGCATGAGTTATATTGTAAAATAGGATTTTAGTCTACAGTGATGTTAACAGCTTTATTGCTTTGGCAGTTAATTTCATTGAAAAGGCCAATTCCATGTTGCAATGGCCTCAGCTCTTTGTTTTATACAATTGTACTATATTCTTTAATTTATTCTAAGCTACAAGAGAGATTGGCTTGTTGAAAGTTGAAGGGAATTTTCCTTTGTACTTGATACGTGCCAAATGTTCTTTGCATCTTTCTCAATTTAATTTCTGCATTTCTCCACAGGAGTTCAGACATGCACTGGAGAACAGCTCAGAATCAAAAGCCTGTCCATCTGCTGAGAGGCATAAAGGACCATTGAGCTACAGGATGGCAATGCAGTTGCCTTGGCAACAAGGGGGAGGTGTACTGAAGGCGCTGTCACTAAGTGTGACTCTTCTGGCAGTCCTTATTGCCTTTTACTATCGAGGTGTTTAAGTGGAAATCTGAACTGAATGATGACATCGTCAGGAAATATAACAAGATGGTTGGAAACGTCAGAGTAAAAAGTCGGACAATTTATACGCCAAGGCCTTACCTTGTAATCATAATCTAGATAAGACTCTCCTACATTGGAATAAGTTATTTAGTTATTTTTCCAAGATCAAGTTAACAGGCTTTTCCACGCTTTTCCATTTTAAAAGAAAGTGTTTGTCTGCATATACCAGGTTCATATTTGCCACCCATAGGTGTATGTTTTAGAAAATTAAGTTATTGAAGTATTTTTCTTAAGTCAAACAGTTGATAATGCGCTTATGTGAAGCCTTATTAAACTTTCTTAATGTACCTAGAAACATGTCATCTTTTGTGTTTTAATGAAATGTTCAGTTCAAAAGTTGCTGGGCATTCAGACTATAAAAGTTGTAACTATTGATTTGTATTGTTATATATTTTCTTCATGTTCATAAGAATGAGTAGTTCAGACTCTAAATGCAAACAACAAAACTAAAATACAGTAAATCACTTCTCTCAAATACGTAAAGGTCCAGAGGAGATAAGGCAATATTGAAAGTGGTGAATGTTTTGCTATTCCCTCATTTGGTGTTTTTCATCCCTGGCTAATGCATCATCTGTCCATATGTGCTTCCTAAAGCAAGAACATGTGCAGATCACAATTTTGCAGTTCCCCAAATAATGAGGTTGGGTAAAGCAGAATGTTTTCTTGGTTGGTTTTCACCCATCAGAATGCCTCCTGCCAATTTGCTACAAGTGAGTATCTCTGCTTTATCCATTATAGGGTTGATCTTCATGAGTACCTCCATCCCAAATTCTCACTACCTAAGGACACTCCCACCACAGATGAATAAAAGTATCAGATTGACTGAAACCAGACCTGCAGTCTGGGGTCACGGTACCCAGTTTGTGTGTTACTTTCACTTGGGTATAATACTATCTGTGGATTGTTTTTGATATATCCTCTCTGATATAGATAGAAGCAGATAATAGCCACTCTACTTTCCAGATGCTGTTCCACTGACTAGGTGGAATTTCCACCATATATCTTCCAAACCACACTAAGGGCAATCAGCCTCCCATGGTATGCTAGTGCAGCATACAATACATATTTGAAACCATGCCTAAAACCAAGGCCTCAAAAGATGCAAGACCCTAAGTAATCTGCTCTTGAATTTCTCTGCTGGAAATTAAATTACTGGCCTGATGGATATTAGGCCCATTAACTTGAACACTGGATAAATCTGTCTCTTCATTGTTCTTCCATGAGTGGATGGGTGTAGAAATTTATCTGTTTTTATTTATTACTGCTTATATTATTTTTGAGAAGGGGGGTCTTTAAGTAGTTTACAGCCTATCTTAAAAGATCAAATACAAAAATTCTAGAGAAATTCTGCATTACATAAAACACCACAATTAACAGCTTAAACACTGGCATAAAACATTGCCCCAAACAGCCACATTTTAAAATAGTGTAATTAGCAACTAAGCAAAATAAAAATAAAAATAATCACTCTAACCTACCATATGCCCAATCAATCATGCAATTAAATGAGCCAATTAAATTCCCAGCCCCTTAAACAAAAAGAAACACAGCCTAATCTAACCACAGCTAAAATGCATCCCACTCAGCTCCACTCAAACACACCCTTACATAATCAACAGACTCACAACAAACACATAAACATTATCAACTGAAATACCCAAACTTCACTCCTCTTGCACACCCTTCAGTCAAACTATCCACACTCTGCAGCCAATCCCAGAGTTCAGTGTCACATCCTTAAGCAACAATCCCCCACATAACTTCGCTATGAGACTCATGACAAAGCTAGCAAAATGCCAACATACACAGCAAGCAGCAACACACACACAGGCATTCATACCAAGCACTCCTCATCTCCAGGCTCTCACTTTGGGGATTACAGAAACCACTGTCAACAGTAACACTTGACCTAAAGTAAAATAAAACCTATTGCCATGCATATTACCATGAGATACCTGAAACATGTAAACAAACACCTCTCTATATATCATCTTAGGATCCCAGGGCAGTTTACAGCATATTGCAACACAAAAATGTGTAATTTAATAAACAAAACAATAACCCCGCTTCCCCTTCTACCTGACCTCTAATCAAGTTCCGTCATCCTGATTTGACCTCCTGACAGAGTAAGCCACCCAGTAATTCTCATAGTTGCACTTATTAACATGACTTGAGGTGAGAACACTCCAGCAGATATTGGCAATGAGAACCCTGATTTGCGCTCGGCATACCTTTGCACTCATCACCTGAGGTCGGAAACTTAAATCCTATGATATGGGCACTTTGATTCCCCCTACCCCACACTCTAGAGCAGGGTTTCCCAAACTTGGGTCTCCAACAGTTTTGGGACTACAATTCCCATCATCCCTGTCTATTGGTGCTGCTAGCTAGGGATGATGGGAGTTGCAGTCCAAAAATAGCTGGAGACCCAAGTTTGCTCTTCTTTCGTTTGGTTCCTTCCCTAGGTGACTGACCCTTTAAGAGATCTCTTTCTTAAGCCTCAGTGTTCCGTTTTGGTGGCAACTATCCTAGCTCAGACCGCTGCAACCTTTGGTCAACTTAGCTGCCCTTCATACCCTCCTGCCCCCTTTTATTATCTGTTTTAGTCAGGATCATCAGGCAATGCACAGCCTGTTGCTCCTACTTCACCTGTAGGACTCCACTGGCCTTCACTTCTCTACCACAGAACGCCAGGCAACCCCATGGGCTTGGCACAAGACAATTTACGAGCATCTCCCTTGGAAGAACTGTGTTGGAAGTCCCCTTGGAACTTTGCCTTCTGGTTCTGTGAAAAGCAATGCATCCTTTCCTGTAATAAATTGTATATTCTTTTACTCTAAGCCTTGGTCTTTTGTCTGTTGATTCCACCTGATATAACTATAACGTATGGTCAATTTGCCCTGGGGTGACCCTGAGCTAAAGATCTAGTGCAAGTTCCTCCAGTACATGGGTCTCTCTTGCATTGAAGGGGGCTGGACTAGATGACCCTTGGGTTCCTGCCAACTCTACGATTCTATGATTCTTCAATACAGGTAGGCAAGGTCCCACAGTAGCAACCTGGCCCAGGAGAAAGTAGCCAAGACAGGCATTGGGGCAAACTCCACGATGCCGTAGCCAAAAGATAAGAAAAGGGAAGCTGGTCTAGTACTTGGGGACTCAATGCTCACTACCCAGTGATTTGTGCCTATCTATAAATTGCAGCCCGAACTACCTGCCACGTCTAGGAAGGATGCAAATATCTTTCACAAGCTGACTACAATCAATCACCCCTTGGTAGAAAAAAAAATAACACAATGCTTAGGGTGTGTGTATGTGTGTGAGAGAGAAAATGGTACCTTCTGAGAACTCCGCCACCTCTGTCACATTCCTGCCTGCAGATTTCTGAACATCTGACAGTTCCTGTTAATTTAGTCTCACTCCCCAGTTCAGCTCCCCATATGGAAAGCTGGAGTGATTTTTGAGTAACAGCAAGTAATATCTAAAGTGGCAGCAACTGGCAACTCTGATACTGAGCTTGGTTGCAGCCATTACCCAGAATCCCTCTGTTCTTTTTGAGAAGCAATTACAATTTCACAGGTTGGAATTAAAATTCCCTGCAGTATGCAATAGAGTAACAAACTGTCAAAGTGATTTCAAGCTGCTAATCTCTCACCGTGGAATGAGTGAAAATAGAATTCCTCGTACCCTGTGTACAGGGCTGACAACTTAAAAAGATTTCCAGTGCCTCTGAATACATGTGGGAGAACAGCATGGTCTGCCCACACACAGGATGTTTCCTAATATGTGATGTCTATAAAAACAAGCTAATAGCCTGTATGTTTGGTTTTTAAAAAAAAAACAACTTGTCATAATGTATGTAAATTCAAGGTGTCACAAAGACCAACTCGCTGCTTATGCTGGCAAATGCAGTATTCTATGGTACAATCACAGTGTGATATTTTCTGCCCATCTCTCTTACCCTGGTGCTACTCAGTAATAGTTTTGCATTCAGTTACTGTGTATTAACATTCTTTCAAGTGGCAAATACCCACAGCTGAATTTAGCCCAAATTGAAAAAAGGAACTACAGGCCCTGAAGCATCACAAACACTGCTTAACGAAAGGTACTGTTTCTGCCAGGGTTTTTTGTTGCTCCTATTGTTGCTGTGGCGGGACACGGGTGGTGCTGTGGGTTAAACCACAGAGCCTAGGACTTGCCAATCAGAAGGTTGGCGGTTCGAATCCCCATGACGGGGTGAGCTCCCTGCTCCGGCCAACCTAGCAG